AAGGATATAGTTAAAAAAAAAATATTATTAAAAAAACAAAATACCCGACTGCACACTAAAAAAAGAGTAAAACAAGCCCCACAATACAAATTTACTGAATATAATTTATAAATGTTGATGGAAAGCATCGCAGGCGGGGACCAACAGAGGCTTATTTATAGTCATTTCTGTTGTGCACCATTTAGCAGAATTTTCGTTGGTGGCGGTCAAGGTGGTCCCCGCCTGCGATGCTTTCCATCAACATTTATAAATTATATTCAGTAAATTTGTATTGTGGGGCTTGTTTTACTCTTTTTTTAGTGTGCAGTCGGGTATTTTGTTTTTTTTAATAATATTTTTTTTATTTATAACTTTTTAGCTGTTTTTTTAAAGGGAAATTTAGAAAAAATATTATTATGTCTTTATCCCGTGGGACTTTTAGGATAAAATGTATCCTATGACACTCCCGTAATCAAGACAAATCTAACGATACCTCATACATCAAAATCCATCAAGCCGTTTAGGCTACAGGAGGTCACAAAGGAAAAGACATACATACATACTTACATACACTCGAAAAACATTACCCTCCTTCTTTGGCAGTCGGGTAAAAACACAACCAGTGCCACCTACATAATCACCATTAAAATTAATAAATTTTGTATTCGCAAAATGCTAGGCATGCACGCATTACACAATTTAAATTCTTCTGCGAATATACCATAGTTTGAAAGAGCTTCCATGAGGCTGTTCAGCGGGGAAAGAACGCTAGGAATTGGGGATGAGGCACATGCTACCTTGCGACTTGTAGGCACAGCAAGCAGACGAATTTTCCAGCTGGTGATAATTATTGGGAACGGGAAGACGAGTCAGCTCATCAAAGCTTATTATATCTATGTTGAACTACACAATAGCTTTTGTTATGTTGTTTAAAGTCAACATATTCATTCTTCTTAACACAAAAACTTGGGCGTAATGAACTTAGTAAACTCGGCTGTAAATGATTCTTTAATTTAATCCCTCTAATTATCTAAGCTGTAAAAAATTCGATGGTAAATTTTTGAAAGTTTCGTAAGGAATCCTCTACGATTGGCAAAGTATAAAGCAATGAGCAAAATAAAGGACACCTATGAGGACTTTCGAATATCGAAGCCAGTATCGTGCACTCTCTTTTTAATTTGAAACTTTTAAACAGTAATTTTCAACCAGGTGTAGAAGGGGTTGTAGGTGCAACCGCAATAATATACCGCTGTCCCGGCCAAGGAGTAGGAACGGGTTTTTTGTAAGAATCTGACATTCCCTATGACCACTCCCCGGGCAGCAAAAGTAACTGGATATTTTCCAGCCTCAAAAAAAAAATGAGGCTAAGCGAGGAAAATTACGACCGACCCACTATACGTAGAAGAAATGTCCACTTTACACCTACAAACTGTCACAGGAAGATCTTAATCGTGCGGACAACAAAAACAGATACCTTACAAGTAGAAAGAACCTTTTTATTATACAATATTCAAAGATATAAATAAATACGTAGGTAGGTAGGTACACTACATATAAGTCAATACACTGACGTCGCCAGCAACTGCATATCATTACGATGTTACGTTAAAAGCAAAAGTGGCAAGCTGGCATCTCGCAACTCGTAACTACGAGAGCATTTCAGTACCTACAGTTAACAAGTGCGCTCACTGCACCCCAATGGTAGAACGCGAGGAATAACAATCACCCTTTGTATGTGCAAGCAGAATGGGGAAACAATTTGCGACATTCAACCTTTTTTTTATTTTTCTTTTTGTTGAGTTTAATTATGTTGGCTGTTGTACATTAATAAAGTATATTATTACTAAGTAGGTAGGTATCCCTAGCAGCGGTGATGATAGGCTATTTGATGTCCGTATGCAGTCAATATTATAATGCATAGCCTACACATATAAAAGGGCAGCACGCGCGTAGGTATATGAATGTTGGGCAAGTTTTTTTGGCGAAGTTTTTGTCCTTTTGACAAGCTTCGTGCCCTCCACACACCTGGCGCCCGGGAGCTTCGCACACGCGCCTCCCTATACTTAACAGGATCTATTGCAATTACTTTCTCTGTGAAAACATTCCAATCACTGTTAAATTCTAATATTGACTGTACAGTGCTAATGCTAATGCTAATGTGCTAAATCATGACGTTCTACAACAAACAAACTATATAACCTACTGTTGATTTTGACGATTCCAAATAAGTATTGAACTTGAATACCGAATTCAAAATTTATAATTGACACTTTCACATTAGTCGAGTTATTGTCGAGGCGAGATAAGTATTACTAGCTTTTGCCCACGACTTTGTTCGCGTGGACTTCGTGACTTCCTGCAGATTTTTGGTTTAAAAACTATACTGTGTCCTTTCTCGAGTTCCAAACTATGTTTGTCTGTACCAAATTTCACACAATTATATTCAGTAGTTTAGGCGTGAAGAAAAGACAGACAGAGAGTTTGTATTAACTACCAAGTGATTTAACAATTTTCATTCAAAAAATAACAGTTTGTTTAACAAACCCAGGTACAAAAAGTATGTACATTTTGATAAAAACGAACAAAGCTTCCGAGTCTACATTAGCGTTTCAAATTTTAGTAAACTTGATAGTGCAAACCACAATCCTCAACAATCAACAAAGCTACTGTTTAAGTCGACAATGCCAATTAAAAAACAACAGCCCATTTAGATACTATAATTTTTATTTAACATCCGTCTTCATGGAACCGTTTCCACACATTGACCCAAACATTTTTTATTTAAATGAAGCCACGTAGCAAATTAAATTCAGTAAAAAAAGTGAGGCTTCCCGGCAATTATTTCCAAACGGCAACAAGGCTTTTATCACAACGGCGCGAATGCCACAAATCTGCGATTCCATGACACATAGGTACCTACAATACGCAAACTGTTGCGAAAGCAATTGTCGATGTCCATAAAACACACATGCTGAAACAGAAAAAAGGATTTAAAGCAGTTAGGTAACGTTTGGCACGTAACTTCAACTGACACGGGCCACAAAAAACGATTGTAAAAATTTAATACAGCCACGTGTGGTGTGCGACCACGAATTCAATGCAAAATAACTGAATTGATTTAATTTCGAGGAAGGAGTCCCTAATATAGGCAAACATGCACAATTATCAGAAACGCCGTTTTTTTTAAATTATGAATTAACGTCTCTCTTTAAAACGTTTGTCCCGCACGGGTTGTCGTGAATTTTGAAGTCAATAATCTAAACTTCTGAGCCGATTTTAATGAAACTTTGTTGGTACTGGCTTATATTAACTACTATAATGGGTTTTTTTTGCTAGGGGAAAATCATCAAATGAATTCTCCCGCCCAGTGCCGGGCGGGAGGGAGTGTCAGACTCTTACTGACTAAAAACCCCCCTGTTCCTTAACCTGCTCTGGGGAGAGGTCTACAAACATAAAGTCGGTACCTAATAAATACTATCTTTTTTTACTTGCTATAAACTAGTGCTTGACTGCGATCCCACCTAATCCCATACTCTATTAACGAATATTTCAAAAATGCCTAGAACTCATCAAGTACATAGTTCAGTTGAAAAAATTGTCTGCCTCGTTAAACGAGTGGAGTAATACTTAGTTTTGAGAACTTGACTTTCTTTAAGTCATGGTCTGATCTGGTCGGACATGACGACAACTTACTGCATTAGTGAATTTCACTACAAAAATTTGCTATTTCGAATATCCACCGAGAGGATACGTCCATCGTTCGTTCACGTGCATTGTAACCGAGCTCCCTCTGGATGTAATTTAATATTGTAATTTAATTGAATAACCGCGTGTGGATGTGCCAGCACAAGCTTGTCCTGCTATCTAGATCTTATATGTGTCTTTTTAAAACTCGAACACCTTGGTGATTACAATATGTCTCCATATAGACCTGTTTGTGTGTGTTTAATGCTTCTTAGTGTAAAAAGACTTGGAATATACAACATTATAGTTCGTTAGTATAAGGTAGAGTAACTTTGCAGTTGTGGTTGCCTGGAGGTTAAGGGGCCCGCTTCTCATGAATGAGGGTGCGGTTTCGAAACCTGGAAAGTACCAATGTGACATTTTCCGTGTACTTTCTATGATTATTTAGACACCACTAACATACGGTGAAGGAACAGTGAGGAAACCTGGACTTAAAATTACTAATTATAAGTTTGAAATCGCCAATCCACCTTGAGCAAGCATGGTGATTAATGCTCAAACCTTCTCCGTCTGAGAAGAGGCCTTTGCTCAGCAGTAAGAACTTAACCGCTGATGTGTGATGTGATGTGTACATAACAAGAAATTCCAATTCACAATGTGTGCATATCTGTTAAAATGCAAGATATTGTCTAGTAAAAAATAATGACACACTAAACTGCCAACAAACCCAATCATCATTGTTATCACAAAATTATGACGAATTGATTTTATTATTGCGTCTTTAAAATTCGCTATCTAACAATATAAAACACGAAAAGCTGAAAATATTCACTCACAATCTGTCAAATTTTTTATTAGTAATAAAGACACGTTTTAACTAAAACAAGTAACAAACGTGAAACGGAACGCAAAATCCACAGCACCGTCCAACACTAGGGACTTCCGTTGACGTCATTATATCGACATTTCACAACACTAGCGGCGGAACTAGATTTGTGCAGTTGGCAATAAACTGGAAGTCAATTGATTTTCTATTTTTACCTTTCTAGAATGTTCGATATATTTCGTTTAATAAGCAGAACATATTTTTATCAATTTTGTAATTACTAAATTTAAAATAGTAGCTTTAGTAATTTTACTTTGCCGATTGCCTATATACGAAACACGCCATGTTTCGCAAGCCACAAAATAAAATGTTTTTATACAATCTAATGCTTTTTTTTCTTAATATTAAAATGAATTATGTTTCATTATAAATAAAATAATTTGATAAACATTTTCTGAAGCAAAATATTTTTTAGACATCTCTGCGCAGAAGCGCGCCATTTCGCCGTTACGAGTGCGCATGTGTTGGCAAACCTGCTTTGCTTCCTCCAAGCCACGACCCGCGACCGTACCGGACGCCATTACCACGCCATCGTACTGTGAATCTGTCAGTTGTGCGTTTTTCTATTGATAATCTTCGGATTTTCCGTAGTGTTTTAAGTTCTGTGCTGACGGTTTCTTTTAATACAAAAATATCAAAATGTCTGACGAAAAGAAGGTTCGTATTTTACTATAATATCAGTGCATTAACAAAAGTCGAAAACAGTGTTTCACCGACATGGCGTTATTAGTAAAATGTGGTTAGCCGATTCAAAGTGGAAAGTGATTAGATGTTGTGCCTGTTTAGGTATTTTCTTCACATAGTCATTTGAAATTTGTTTTTCAGGGAGAAAGCGAACACATCAACTTGAAAGTATTAGGCCAAGATAATGCAATTGTGCAGTTCAAAATCAAAAAACACACACCTCTGAGGAAGTTAATGAATGCTTATTGTGATCGAGCGGTAAGTTCATCCTTATTTATTACTCGTATTCTTTGTTATAACGGTTTGTCCTATTTCCAACACAACGATAATGTTCACAATAGAAGTGGCGTCTTTGGTCTATATGCTATGTTTGGGCTGGTAGAATCTAGAGTAAAGCTAACCCTCATGGAAAATACCTTTCTCCGAACTAATTATGATTCATCAAATTATAAAGAGAGCAAATTGTTCCTCGTAATTCCCATGTGAAGCCATGACCATATGCACAACCTACACATTGGTGTCAAATTTATGTTTTACCCTCATTGTATAGGTTATGTGCTATAAAGCTAAACTAATTGTGCATAGTTCTCATCAGACAATTTACCGAACAAAACGTAAATAGGCAATTGTTTTTGTAAACATGTTGTATAGAGATCAATGACCTTGCGCATTGGGGGTTTGATTTCTCAAAAACATGCATAGCTGTACCTCTTTAAATGTACCAAAGCCAGAAATAAGCTACAAACATCCATGTTGATATCAGTAACAAACACAGTACACTTTTCTAACATTCATGATTGCACACTGCTTTAAAATCACAAGACAACATTCTTTTTAGGCTCTGCGAGTCTGCATTGCATTACAACAATGTAGTAATAATTGTTTCTAAAAATTTCGCTTAAGCGAACATCTTTGAAAGCAAGTTTGCAAGCAAAAATAGTTGTTAATAAATCAAGTCTATAATAATTCAGTCTAACATGTTGATAAAATAGCAGAACAGAATAACATATAGAACTGAAAAAATAAACTAATTTTCGTTAGAGCTTGCTTTATTGAAAACAGTCAGTTAAGGGGCATAAATAGCCTTGCAACCAAGGGGTTTTTTGTCTATGTCTGTGAATAATTTTATTAAGATAATGTGGAAAATATGAATTAAGAACAATTACAATGTATCTAGAATCAGATTACAATAATGTATCTAGAATGAATGACCTTGGAATTAAGTAAAATTAATTTCACAATATTATGCAATTTCCCCCTTTAATAAATAAGTCACATTGTTTAAATGAAAATATATAATCTCTTTTCAGGGTCTATCAATGCAAGTAGTGCGGTTCCGATTTGATGGTCAACCAATCAATGAAAATGACACGCCAACATCACTTGAGATGGAAGAAGGTGACACAATAGAGGTTTATCAGCAGCAGACTGGTGGAGCACCATTAGTGTAAACTTATCTTAAGGAACTGTCCAATTCCCATGGGAAGAACGCTATGGTGAACCCATCTCAACTGTAACATTAAGTTAATTTTAAATGAAACGATGCAAGTATAAAATGTAACTTTTGAGATACACAATCGCGTAGCAGAGCTTTTGTATACCTTAGCATTGTGTATCTTAAAAATAGTAGTACTGTATACTCTATTTAATTAAGGTGAAATTTGAGGTAAACCAAATGTTCTAGGTACTTCAATAATTATTCCATTGTGATAATTTTTTAGTTGACACCGTTTCAGATCAGCTCTTGATTTTTTTTAAGTGTGGCCAAAAGATGACACTTGCAAGCTGTATGTGGTAAATAATTTATTGGACATACGTCCAACCCAATTGTCAAGTCTGTAACCACTAATGTAATATCTGAAATAAAGTAAACTTGAAAACCTTTCAATTTTATTTATTTACTTCTATCCTCGTTTCTGCTTGACTACACATGTATTTTGTACTACACATCAACTTTCCTGTTCCGAAATTCAGCTACTGTATAAAAAAAATACCTTCCTGGTAAAAAACCTATCATAACACTACCTACCATAAACTTCATACATTCAGTACAGTGGTGATTGCTAAATCACCTACATCTATAAGTCCATATACAAGAGACCTGGGTTTGCTTCATTACGAAAATCTTAGGTCATATTTATAAATAACTTGAACACATGGTGAGTCATCTGTTCAAAGGTCGACCTTGCTACAACTTACTACCTAACTACTACATTTTACTGATTTCATTCATTTACCCTGAAGGAGGAAAGGAGTATACTGGTAGGTAACTAAAAGATGAATAAGTTATTGCCACTAGCCCCAGGTAAGTCAATCCTAGAACTGTTACTTAACTCCAGCTCATTAGATGATGACCACACCAATTGACAAGTAGGTAAGTAAATTCGAGATGAAAATTAGCTTTTTTGTTTTCTATTTCAACGATGACGTAGGTCTGTGCACCTAGACATTACCTGCCTGATCTAAACTGTATCGGACCAATTTAACCGTACATATGACAATATGGGTACGGTAAAAAGGGATGAAAAGATCTAGGAAAATTCGCCAACATCTATTCACACCATTTTACAATAGATTTTTCAATACCTATGTACATGTCTAACTACCACTTGTGTTGTAATCATATGAGAACGTAATGTGGCTTATTTTGGCTGAGCTAAGTCACAGTTTACTCCCTAAAAACATGAAGCAACAAAACCCCGGTTGTTGAATCAGGTTTTAATCTGAAAGCAATGCAAGTTGTATAAGTAAATTGTAAAAATTTTCTATAAACGAATATTTTTCTTTTCTAGCAAATACTGCCCAATACGCGCATTTCGTTTTCAACACACTGGACCAAGATAGAAGCGGCCTGTTAAGTTTTGAGGTAATATCTATAAATTACTATCTAATCATCTAGTAAGTGGATCTCGCCATATTAATGATAATTTCTTTGCTCTAATAGGAGTTTGTAACCGGCTTATCAATACTATCAAGAGGGACATTAGAAGAAAAGCTTCGATGGACGTTTTCGCTGTATGACATCAATGGGGATGGGTGCATCACTAAGGAAGAAATGACGGAGATTGTCACAGCTATTTACGATCTAATGGGAAAGATAGTGGAGCCAATGTTGGAAGACGATGTGATACGAGAGAAGGTTGAAAGACTGTTTCAGGTAAAATTTTATAGTATCTTTTTTTTTTCTTTACATGATACATATTATTTACAAAGGATTCTATCAGTAGCTTTAATTATCTCGTGACTATAACTACCCTACAGCTACATAAATGTTCAGCGCCACCTAGTACGGTCCTTACGTACTTCTAACTTCCGCCCGCGGTGTCGCCCTCGTGGTATGTGTTGATAAAAAGCCTATCTGTTAATCCAGACATGAGAAGGAACGGGGGGGTATTAATCATTAAGTCTCCCTCGGCGAGAGAAGTCATTTGATGATTTCCCTTCACAAAAATAGGGTATCTCCTATCTTACATACAAAATTTCAACTAAGTCTGGCCGTTTAAAGAAACGAAAGAATAACAAACATAAATATGTACATCCATACCTTCTCACAAACTTTTATATTTATAGTTGGGATTATAACTTCCAGTACATTTATGCATAAAAGTTACGCACATACATCTGCCCTTTTTAGCTATCCTACGAAGTCAGCGTGTGATCCAATGCAATTTATTATGTTTTCAGAAAATGGACTTGAACCGCGACGGAGTTCTGACGCTAGACGAGTTTCTTGATTGCTGTCTCCGCGACGAGGACATCTCAAGGTCGATGGGTGTATTCGACAGCAACTTCTGACGGCCTGCGGTAGGCGCGCGCGCGTCTACGTGCCGCGTCCCCTGACACCACGCTCTATCTCCCACTACGTCATTTTGTACATAACGATGAATCTGCAATTCTTCATCAGCCAATTGATACGTACGCAAATAATGAAAGTAGTTAGGAAAACGAATGTTAGTAGTGCGGTATTATACCACTCGGTGTCATAGATTTTGTGTAACCAAACAAATGGCCAATCCCAATAATTGTTATTACCAGACCAATTTAAGAATGACGTAAAGAAGATACACGCTGTATCTTTGATTGAATTACGATGTTATTGTAAAAAGAAATGCCTTATTTATAAGAAGCTTTAGCGAAAAAGTACTGGATTCATAAAAATGATGCCAGTTGCTATGCATGTAACAAGAAATGTGGACTTGTTTTGTATGTAATAGGTGTGACATCAACAAGGAATGATGTGCGGCTTATTTTGTACTACTTAATAATTATTTTAGGACCTTTACTAATTTAGTAGATTAAGTGTCCAGTTAAGAACTTGTTATAATTCCAATAATTATAGTTTTATCGTATATTCTAGCGGTATTCTTGTCTTCAATGGGCAATTTGTTAGACCCTCGCTAGTTTAGTCAGCTTTTAACTGGCTTTGTTCCTTAACATTCCTTTGACCGGGCTAACAATGCCCCTGTACTATTGCAAGCCTTTTTAATTTCATTCTTTCGCCAAGAATATAGATAAATCATTCTTCTTGCATAGTTGAATAGTTCTTACCCGAATTGCCATTATAAAAATCTAATCTATGAATATTTTAATAGAAGTATTACACAAAATTTTAATAGTTCTACTTTACCAAGGCAATCTACCTATTAGAAAACAATCTAAGATAATCTAAATCTAAATAACTATTTAATGTTTTAACTAAAGATCTCTGTATTCCAAATGGTAGTTTTACGTGAATATCACTGATAATAATTAAATTTAAAATTACATATTTTAAAGCTGTTCAACTAGATATAGAATTTCTTCTTGTAATGTGGATCAAACATGATAAGATAAATAAAGTAATAATATTTGGTAAAACGTCGTGCCATCCATACCTAACATAGAAACTACCTACCTATATTTTCGAACTCGTTTCCATAAAGAAAAAAAAACATAGAAATTAAAAACTTACTATTTTCCACTTACCATAATATAAACACGTATAATTGTAAACAATAAACCATTTGTGATAATGGAGGAAGTAAAGAGACGGAGATAGATTTCCCGACCACTAATTTATGGGGCCTAATTAACAGGTATTATATGACAGAAGTTGCACGATAGAATTAATCGCAAATAAAATAAACACTATCTATGGTTACATCCGTATTTCTTGAGTCATTAGTTCATTACAGTTGGTGGACAATCAATTTTTTCGACATCTTGTACCTATATTAATTCTTCTGACACTTATTTTCCTTAATTTTAAATTGTTCCGGCCATTTTTCATAGTATTTAGAATAATATTTCTTTTAAGATATTTTATAGTGTGCAAAACCTACCACATAAGTATTAAAAAATTACCTAAATATTTCCAAGATTTTCTTTAAATAGATAATCTCGAATGCTTGTTTTTTTAATACTAAACTAATTTAAGTAGAGTTACGCTGAGCCACTAAATAAATTTCTTTGGAAAAAGGGTCTTTAAAACACTGCCACAATGTCTCCTATTTATCTTATAAACTGCAACTACACTAATTAATTACCTACACCTCTATGTATGTCTCCACCTACTTATTTTCTTAAACTTATATCTCTACTTGAATTCAAAATTTTATTATATGAACTATGTCAAAAATAATCAATATTGTTTTGTAGTATCATACCTGTCTACTTCTCACTGTCTCTTACTTCGAAAATGACGATATTTTCTAAAGAAGATACCATGAATGTAAATATACTATGTAAATACCGATGTTATAGATTTTTAACGTGTATATTTTCATAGTAAATGTTAAATGGAACCAAATAACTAGTGGCATTAAATAACATCGTATTTTAATATAGAAAAAAAAACAATATTATAATAAAATGACACGCAAATAATACCAGCACTAAAGTTATTAATAATTATTATGTAATGTGATTAAAAGGTGATGAAATAATAAATCTAAATGATGTTAAGATATTTTATGTTTGATAACAAATTAATATGAAATAGTTACCTACACGTTAGACGACCACATTGTGCTTAGAACAGTTTAGCTAATGACACCACGTGAAAATATTTTCATGTAAATTTTAAACATTGTTTTATTGGTCGAGCTTACATAGATAAGGTTTATGTGTGTCTTCCCAAATAATACCGTTACGTTCAAACTATCTTACCAACCATTTTGATAAGCCCCTACCCGTAAAGATTATGTATATTTAGTACCTATATTGAATTATTACCTATTTATCGTTGTCATAACATTTGTTACCATTACGCCTGTGATGCCCAAAGGGTATGGCTGAGGTTCTGCCGTTTATTTATATTTAATATATAGGATTAAAACACAATCTTATGATGAAAGCTAGAAGTTATTAAATTAGATAAAATAAATCAATAAACAATTTTGGGTTAATTCTGTTAAATTTACCACAATTATTTAAACCTAAAATAAATGTCTTAGTGCCAAAAATGACCCTTATTGTGTGCAGCCTTTTGATGCAAATCGTGTTCTATTTGTTTAAATTCTACCTGAAAGGTTGCACCGGTTGATAAATTCAGATCGTTTAATAGGCCTATTAGAATGGTAAAATGATATCGATTTTGTCTTAAGGTCCATGTACTAGTCTAAAATCTACAGGTACTTGATGTTAGTTACTATAGTATATAGATGCTGTTTTGTCCCATAGGAATTAATTCCGTACCTACATTAAATGTCATATCCAAGGCTTTTACACAGCGATTGGCTTTAAGCTTAACCATAGGCGCCGCCTGGGTTAGGTACTTTCAGACAGGTACATCAGAATCAGCGCATAAGACAATCTAACTCCTCAATCAGCAAGTTCCACTTGAGATTATTTTATTATCTTTCCTTCAAAATACGCTGCGAGCGCCTATGATATTAACAGGATTAGTAACTCCAAATATCCACGGAAAATGAAGTACATATCAGTCTTTATGTAGATTTCTGCCGTCTAACAAATCAAAGAAGCCACACATTGTTTTTAAAAGTAATGAATTAATCAGTATGTTAATTTGATGTTGTAATTGTTGCATAATGATCCAGCATCGGTGTAATAGTACATTACCTATAGCGTGGACGTAATGAATATGTTTAGGAACGAAATCTGTACATTAGATATTTGAATATTGAATTGTTTATTTACAAATTGTATGTGTATTTTATAGAAAAATAAATAAAATCGATTAATTCGTGTTTTATTATGTACCTATAGACCCGACAGGACTGTTTCACTTATTGGCAATGCAACTAGTGGTTTATGAAATGCTAAATACCAACTATGTAACTTTATGTCGACCAAAGTTATTGACAAAATAGTGTGAAATACTTAACTTCGTAAAAAAGAACATACCTAGTCTACAAAAAGTCAGTAAAAGTTTCACCATTGGACAGCTACATTCACACTAGGTAACCTGTCCAAAGCTAGTAGTTAGTAGAGCGGGCCGCTAGTTTTCAATATAGGAAGTTCGAAGAGATATTTTTTAATTTTCTGTTTTGCCCTGATACTTTGAAACATAGCATAGTAAATAGTTTTATTGGGTAGGAAATACGTAGTTGCAATAAATAAACGGAAGATGATAAAATAAACTCAATTTTTACACTTTGTACAAAATCTTTAATCAAATCAAATTATGACAATAGCATAATTAAAAATTAAAGACAAAAACACGCCAGAGAAAAAACAAGGAATTAAATTAAATGCAAGAATATTTTCGAACTAAACATTAATTTTCTTTTCTAATATGGCAAAGTTGCTGCATAGCAAGATTATATCTAGATTTAAAAATTGATCCAAAAAGGCGGCATTATTTTAAGTATACTCTAATGTATGCCAAATATTTTATTTGTGCAATTCCTTTGAGCATTCTATAAGTCACAAAAAAATGCTTATCCGAAATGTTACAAGTCCACAAAAATAATTCTAATACAGAGGCACTATTGTTTCCAACGGCCAAAACATATATTTACTTTACACCTAAAATTATTTAAAAAATACAATTCACATTTAATTTTCATTATGTCAAAAAAGTATTAATAAAATTGAGCTCTAATAATTATTTCGAATCATTTGATCTTATTAATTTTTAAACAATGTTGTCATTTAACAACTTAATTTCTAAACTATAAACTACATAATGTACGCAATGAGTCTTAAAAATTTATTCGCATAATTTTATTGGTCCTCGTCATTTTCGTAATTTAGATAATTTTTGTACCAAGTATCTATTATTATAAGGTTGTCTTATTACGAGTCTAATAATATATTTAACTTATAATTCATCTTATATCAACATGCAACAACTCTGGCAACCAGTTACTACAAGAACTCGTGTTAGTAAGGAGAAACATCAAACAGATCTTTAGTCTTAAAAATTACAAATATTTTCTACAATTAGCTAAGTTCCCAGTTTTCATTCTAACAATGAAACGTGAACACAAGTCCTAATTGTATGAAAGTAGATTACCAAAATATTATTGTATAAGTCAATATGTAAAAAAATATTAGTTAGGTAATAATACTAATAAAGAGAGCTAATATTCTAAAATTTTGAATTTTGTACGGTGGTTTCGTAAGGCAGTTCCAAAGTTTCTACAAAAACTAAACTACTGTTAGTAGACATAATACATCTATAATAAAACCTCAATAAAAATATCTTCACACAGAGATCTCGAAAATATTGTTCATTGCATTAATATGTGATGCATTATTGCTTCAAATACATTGTAGTATACATATAATAATTATGTACATAAGTTAAAATCTCTGTAAAATAATCTAAAGTACATTTAATATAATTAAATCTACATTACTAAATAGTAATGTTCTCTTAATTTATAAGATCTGACATTCGAGTTCATTAGGTTTGTACAGATAGACATATTTGGTTATTGATTCAAGCAGCAACAAATGGACTTCTAAAAGAGGTTTATGCACAACAGTAAGTTTACGTAAGTCCGTATAGAAGTTAAAGTATTTTAGGTAAGAGTACTGATGGTACTCTCTTGCAATATCTCTGCCAGGCTGCCCCATAGCGCCTCTTGCATCGTTCATGGTCCCGCCACGCACGGTGCACCAGCGCAAGAATTGTCAAGATCGCCGGAGCTGCCGCCAAGTAATGTCCAGAGATGATCCCAGGCAATGCTAGAGCGCTATGAATCAGTATGTCACCTGTATAGTTCGGATGACGCAGAATTCCCCATAGATTGGAGACCAACAGCTTCTTTCCATGGAAGGTTGGCATGGAATCTACGTCTGAAAATAATACAAATATTTTTAATTATATTATTTACAACTGCATGTCATAAAACATTCATAAAAAGTTCAGTTACTAAAATAAAGTTACAGGTTTGCTATGTAATAACATGAAGGTAAGGATTGTGATAAAGGTGTCAGTGTAGTTTTTGTTTACCCCTATGGGACTAAGGCGTAAAATTAATTGTATGTATGTATGTGTAAGCTTGCGTGTTACGGAAAATTACTATGACTATTACTAATATTTTTGCATATTGATTAAAAACAATAGACTGCTTACAATGCAAGTAAACATAATTTTGCTTGTTAACCACAATTCTATACCCATAAAACCAGGTACAAATAAAGCATAAAAATAAAAACAAAAGCTTAAATAAATATCTTATGTTCTGTTACTTACTTGCCAAGCTCAGATGTAGAGGGGTATTCCTGAATTCATATTTAATATTGTTACTAACAAGCATTATAAAGAATCCCAGCACAAATAGCAGAGAAGCAGAGATTAAGGTGTTAGTAGACAGAACTAAGTCTGTGTCTGCCACGTGTTTAGATATTGTTGTGAAGTAGTAAGGGTACAGTGCACTTGCAACTGCCT